TCACGGGCCTAGTTGCTCCGCGGCATGTGGGATCTTCCCAGACCAGTGCTCGAACCCGTGTCGCCTGCATTGGCAGGCAGATTCTCAACCTCTGCGCCACCAGGGAAGCCCATTTTGTGTTTATTTTTGGACATGGAAGCAACCTAAGTGTCCATTGACAGATGAATGGATAAAGAAGATGTGGCACATATGTACAATGGAATATTACTCAGCCATAAAAAGAAATGAAATTGAGTTATTTGTAGTGAGGTGCATGAACTTAAAGTCTGTCATACAGCGTGAAGTATGTCAGAAAGAGAAAAACAAATACCGTATGCTAACACATATATATGAAATCTAAAAAACAAAAAATGGTTCTGATGAACCTAGGGGCAGGACCGGAATAAAGACGCAGACATAGAGAATGGACTTGAGGACATGGGAAGGAGGAAGGATAAGCTGGGACGAAGTGAGAGAGTAGCATTGACATATATATACTAGTGGGAGACAGCCGTATAGCACAGGGAGATCAGCTCGATGCTTTGTGATGACCTAGAGGGGTGGGCTAGGGAGGGTGGGAAGGAGGCGCAAGAGGGAGGGGTTATGGGGACGTGTGTATACATACAGCTGATGCACTTTGTTGTACAGCAGAAACTAACACAACATTGTAAAGCAATTATACTCCAATAAAGATGTTTAAAAAAAAAAAGTCACTGTGAGATATATCACCGTAGGGAAATAACCAATAATCAAATAAAGAAAATGCATAGAAAAAAAGTTTGTATCAGCCACATTTCAAATGCTCGATAGCCACACGTGTCCTGTGACTGCCATATGGCACAGTATGCTCATCAGTCTTTATTTTAAATGTTCACATGTTTTCTTACAGTGCCCTTTCTGTGTGTAAACATACACACAAATCATTAATATTTGAAGTTAAACTGTATTCAGTTTGGTATCCTGCCTCTTACAAATACGTTATCATGAGCATTTAATCACGCAGGTCATGAAAAATTCTCCCTTAACATTATTTTAACAGCTGGGTAATATTTAGTAATTAATACAACCATTCTCCTATTATTGGGCGTGCTGGTCATTTCTATGTTTCGGGGTTTTTTTCCTCACTTTTATAAATAACACCGAAGTGACTATGGGCAAATTATTATCTCTTTGATTGTTTTTAGGTTAGATTCCTGGAAATTATACCTTGCCTTTTGTGTTTGGCAATATGCCTTGAAGATTATTTCATACAGAATTGCCTTGGGCATGTTAACAGCTACAGAGTAGCTCATACTTTACTTATCCAACCCCCCCCATCTCCCCCCCCCCCCCCCCCCCCCCCCCCCCCCCATGGATGGCTAATTAGGTTGTTTCCAATATTTGATTGTAATGACAAAGCTGCAATGAACATCTTTGCATATTTCACATTCTTGCATGTTTCACTTGGCACACCTTTCTGTAAGAGTGACTGTAGGGTCTATTCCATCAGCAAGATGTCAGAAAGCACGTAACCCCCAGCAGAGTTCTGTGAGGATGCTGCCCTCTCCTTGGCCTGGGGGGACTCCCAGTCCCATGACCAGACCCTATTAAGCCTTGCCCATCTGTCTGCAGCTGGTGGTGCATGTGGGGGTGTCAGGCATGGCGACCACAGTCACGCTGGAGAAGTGCGGGCACAACAAGGGCTACAAGGGGCTGGACAACTGCCGATTCTGCCCTGGCTCCCAGTGCTGTGTGGAGGATGGGCCTGAAAGCATTGACTCCATCATTGACATGGACGCTGTATGTAAGAGGGTTACTACACTGGGCCTGGATGTGTCAGTGACCATCTCACAAGATGCCGGCAGGTAAGGCACCATGGGGCCCTATGGTGTAGGTGTGAGTAGGGGTTTCCCTCCTACATCAGCCCAGGCTGGGTGTTGAACAAGCCAAGTGTGTTTGACTTTAGCCTCTTTGGGCCAAGTGCTCACTTTTTCTTTTTCACTTTTTTTTTTTTTTTTTTTCGGTACGCGGGCCTCTCACTGTTGTGGCCTCTCCCGTTGCGGAGCACAGGCTCCGGATGCGCAGGCTCAGTGGCCATGGCTCATGGGCCTAGCCGTTCCGCGGCATGTGGGATCTTCCCAGATTGGGGCACGAACCTGTGTCCTCTGCATTGGCAGGCGGACTCTCAACCACTGCGCCACCAGGGAAACCCTCTTTTTCACTTCTGAAAACATAATTGATTTACCACCTGATTAAAGCATGGGATAATTTTTTTTACGCATGGGATATTTTAACAGTATTATACATGATATTTTTACATAGAATTTCACAGTATATAAACCTCACCATCCATGAGGCACAGAGTTAAGTATATATGTGTATGTGTGTGTATATATATATATAAAACAGGTTCCACGGATTCTGCTTCTGGAACTCATTGTGTGTGGATTGTGGACCCCGGCATCTCCCACCTGCACGTTGCTCCGGCCGTCTCCCTGCTGTTCCTCCGGCCACCTCTACCCCAACCCTGACAGTCCTTCTCTGCTAAGCAGTCAGTTTCTATATTAGTTTCCCGTGGCTGCTATATATAACAAATTACCATGTTGGTGGCTTAGGGCAACAAACATTTATTCTCTCCCAGGTCTGGAGACTAAAAGTCCAAAATCAAGGTGTCAGCAGGGTTGGCTCCTTCTGGAGGTGCTGAGGGGGAATCTGTTCCATGCCTCTCTGGCTTATGGGGGCTGCTGACAACGCTGAGTGTTCCGCGCCTTGAGATGCTTTACCCCAATCTCTGCCTTCTTCCCTGTGTGTGTCATCACATGGCCTTCTTTTCTTTTATTTTTTTAAAGATTTTTTTGATGTGGACCATTTTTAAAGTCTTTATTGAATTTGTTACAATATTGCTTCTGTTTTTTTTAATATATAAATTTATTTATTTATTTTTGGCTGCGTTGGGTCTTCGTTGCTGCGCACAGGCTTTCTCTAGTTGCAGCGAGTGGGGGCTACTCTTCGTTGCGGTGCGCGGGCTTCTCATTGCAGTGGCTTCTCTTGTTGCGGAGCTTGGGCTCTAGGAGCGCGGGCATCAGTAGTTGTGGCACGTGGGCTCAGTAGGTGTGGCTCGCAGGCTCTAGAGCGCAGGCTTAGTAGTTGTGGTGCATGGGCTTAGTTGCTCTGCGGCATGTGGGATCTTCCTGGGCCAGGGATCAAACCCGTTTTTCCCTGCATTGGCAGGCGGATTCTTAACCACTGCGCCACCAGGGAAGTCCCTGCTTCTGTTTTATGTTTCAGTTTTTTGGCTGCGAGGCACATGGGATCTTAGCTCCTCGACCTGGGATCGAACCCACACCCCCGGCATTGGAAGGCAAAGTCTTAACCACGGTACAGCCAGGGAAGTTCCCATGTGGCCTTCTTACAAGGACACCAATCATTGGATTTAGGACCTACCCTAAACCACTGTGACCTCATCTTAACTAATTACATCTGCAAAAACCCTATCTCCAAATCAGGTCACATTTTGAGGTTCTAGATGAACACAGATTTGGGACAGAAACTAACTATTCAGCCTATTAGAGGGTCTATTAATTTAAGTCCGATGATGTCCCTAACTTGCTTAATTCTTCCTAAAGCTTCCACTGCACCTCGAATGAAATCCCAACTCTCCACCATGCACAGGTTCTGTGTGGTCTGGCCCCTGCCCACCTCTCCACCCTCCTCTGCCTTCACTCTCGCCTCACCACTGCCTTCCAGACCCACAAACCAGCCTCCTCCTGTTCCTCAAACACACCAAGCTCACTCTAGCATCAGGGCCTTTGCACATGCTAAGACCTCTGCCCAGAGCTCACCTCCCTCTGATAATACCTCTTTCAGGTCTTAACTCCAAAATGTTGCCCCCTTGGGAAGGACTCCCCAGCCTCCCAGACCTCTCTGTTCTATGCCCTCTCAACACCAGATACCTTGATTTCTCAACACTTTGTACACCTCTCCAGTCCAAAGGCGGCAGGTGGCAAATTCACTTGACAGAATGAAGTGGCTGAATTTACCATCAGTCTTTTTTTTTTAATTATTATTATTATTTAAAGATTTATTTATTATTTCTTTATTTAATTTATTTTTGGCTGCGTCAGGTCTTAATTGCAGCATGCGAGATCTTCCCTGTGGCATGTGGGATCTTTCGTTGCCACACGCGGGCTCTTCTCATTGTGATGCATGGACTTCTCTCTAGCTGTGGCGTGCGGGTTTTTTCTCTTTTCTAGTCGTGGCTCCAGGGCACGTGGGCTCTGTAGTTTGTGGCACTTGGGCTCTTTGGTTGAGACTTCTGAGCTCAGTGGTTGTGGCGTGCAGGCCCAGTTGCCCCGTGGCATGTGGGATCCCAGTTCCCTGACCAGGGATTGAACCCGTGTCCCCCTCATTGTAAGGCAGACTCATTACCACTGGACCACCAGGGAAGTCCCTTAATTTTTTTTTAATTAAAGTATAGTTGATGTACAATAGTATACGTTACAGATGTACAATACACTGATTCACAGTTTTTAAAAGTTACACTCCTGGGCTTCCCTGGTGGCGCAGTGGTTAAGAATCCACCTGCCAATGCAGGGGACACAAGTTCGAGCCCTGGTCCGGGAAGATCCCACATGCCGTGGAGCAACTAAGCCCGCGTACCACAACTACCTAGCCTGTGCTCTAGAGCCTGTAAGCCACAACTACTGAGCCCATGTGCCACAACTACTGAAGCCCGCATGCCTAGAGCCCATGCTCTGCAACAAGAGAAGCCACCACAATGAGAAGCCCGCTCAAGGAAGAGTAGCCCCCACTTGCCGCAGCTAGAGAAAGCCTGCACACAGCAACGAAGACCCAAGCAGCCAAAAAGAAATAAATAAATTTATTTTTAAAAAGTTATACTCCATTTATAGTTATTATAAGATATTGGCTATATTCCCTGTATTGTACAATATATCCTTGTAGCTTATTTTATACCGAATAGTTTGTACCTCTTAATCCCCTTCTCCTATATTGCCCCTTCCCCCTCCCACCAGTCTTTTTTTTTTAATTTATTTATTTTTGGCTGCATTGTGTCTTTGTTTCTGCACGCGGGCTTTCTCCAGTTGCAGCGATCGAGGGCTACTCTTCGCTGCGGTGCACAGGCTTCTCATTGTGGTGGCTTCTCTTGTTGCGGAGCACGGGCTGCAGGCGCACGGGCTTCAGTATTTGTGGCACGCGGGCTGTCTTTTTTTTCAACTAATTTTTTTTTTTGTTTTTGGCTGCGCCACACAGCTTGCAGGATCTCAATTCCCTGACCAGGGATTGAACCCGGGTCCCTGTCGGCGAAAGCCCGGAACCCTAACCACTAGGCCACTAGGGAACTCCCCTAAAATTAATTTTAAGTTATTCAGATAATTCTAGAGTATATTCTCATACTTTCCTGTTGTGAAAGATTCTCTCGCCCTTTCTCCTCCCCCCCCCCCCCCCCCCCCCCCGGGGTCCCTCCGTTAAATGAGAGACTTAAATTATGACCCTTCCTACTCACCCACACATATGTTTCCATACATATGTAGGACATCTGGCATACTACTTTCGAATTTTGTCCTGTTTCACTTCGCTTTCACGTGGATGGGGTTACGTGGTGTGCATTTTCATGAGAGTTCCCTTCCTTGGTTTCACTTGTGGGCATGTGACATGGGTCTTAGTGAGTTCTGTCTTCCTGTGGCTCCACTGCCTGCCTTGTAAACGGCTGCATGGTATTCCACTGTGCAGATGAACCAGAGTTTATTAAGCCACTCCTCTGTCAGTGGACACTTAGGAGGTGTTTTAGTCTGCTATAACCAAAAAAAAAACCCCAGACTGGGCAGTGTATAAACAACAGAAAGTTACTGCTCACAGCTCTGGAGGCAAGGAAGTTCAGGATCCAGGCACCCTCATGGTGGTGTTCTGATAAAGGCCTTCCTATAGGTTGCAGACTGCCGACTTCTGGCCGTGTCCTCACAGGGTGGGAGGGGATTTGGGGGGACATTCAGATCCTAGCCGGTTGCTCCCTGTTTTTCTGCTTTTACACATCATGCTGCAGCAGATACCTTGTTCGTCTTTCTCGTGCTCGTGTGCAGATGGCTCCTGAGATAGTCTAAAAACTCAAAACATCAGGTCATAAAGTCTATGCATTTGTAATTTTTAAAAAAGTATTATTATTATTATTTATTTATTTTGCGTTACGCGGGCCTCTCACCGTTGTGGCCTCTCCCGTTGCGGAGCACAGGCTCCGGACGCGCAGGCTCAGCGGCCATGGCTCACGGGCCCAGCCGCTCCGCGGCATGTGGGATCTTCCTGGACCGGGGCACGAACCCGTGTCCCCTGCATCGGCAGGCGGACTCTCAACCACTGCGCCACCAGGGAAGCCCAAAAATTATTTTTAAAAAATTTTACTGAAGTATAGTTCATTCACAATGTTGTGTTAATTTCTGCTGTACAGCAAAGCGATTGAGAGATATAGATATATATATATATTCTGTTTCATATTCTTTTCCATTAAGGTTTATCACAAAATATTGAATATTGCACATTTGTAATTTTTCTAGCCTGCCAGATTGCCCTCCCCTGGGGCAATTTGTATCCCAGCCAGCAGCATCTCACACTGCTTCCTTCCCCACATATACCCCAGCACTTGGAGTTATTTATTTATTTATTTATTTGCTGGCCTGGGGAGGGAGAAGCAGTATTCCGTCTTGTGGATGACTGGTGAGGTTGGGGCGGGGGGGTGCCTTATGATGGATTTCAATGGAACATTCACTCTCTGACCCCATTTGGTCTCCTTCCCATCCCCCACGCCCTGTGGCTTAGGTACCTCTGCGACTTCGCCTACTATACCTCTCTGTAC